CTACTGAGCGTAGAAAGTTGAAATTTGGAATGAAGATTCCCTAGGGAGTATAGAGGAGCATTAAGAGAGGATTTTTTAAAATTCCACCCCGAAGGGGCTAAATTAGGGGATGAAAGTTTGTATGAAACTTCATGACTACAAGTGCTAGGAGTTTCAATTTTTGCATGCGGGTTCTTTTTAGGACGCAGTTTCTCACTAAGACGGGATTTTACGAAATTCGACACCTAAGGAATCAAATTAGGGAATGAAAGTTTGTATGGAACTTTGTTACTACAAGAGCTAGGAGTTTCAAATTTTGCATGCGGGTTCTATTTAAGTCGTAGGTGCTCACCAGGACGGGATTTTACGAAATTCGACCCCTAAAAGGGTAAATCAGGGAATCAACATTTTTTATGCATTTTTCGATTTAATCCTACAGTTCAGGATTTTTCCAAATTGAACAGAACAATAAATGTACCGATTTTTATGGAATTATTATTAAAAAATCTATTTTTATATTTTCGGTTTTTTTTTTAATACTGCAGTATGTACCAGATATATCACACAATACGTTTAGGGCGTATTAAGTTTTGTGTATAGTCTAACTTACTCTTAGTTAGAATGAAATGAAAGAGTAATATTTATCATGAGAATATTTTAATTCAAATGTAGTTACGCTTCTTTCTAATAGATGGCGTGAAATAGCGTCGTATTACGGGTTTAATACGACGCTAACAAAAATTTTTAGGGTTAAATCTAGACCACGTGGGCGAAATCGCGGGTAATAGCTAGTACTTATATGTATGTAGTTAAAGTGGCTTCTATAAGAACACAAACTCTTAGCCCTCAGATCATAGAAAGTTTATTTACAAACCGAACCGGTTGTCTAGATCAATGTATAATATTAACAATTGGGTCGATATTGCTGTTGTTTGCGAAAATTAGAGTATTTCATGACAAAGAGCAAGTTTATAGTTGGTCACGATTTCTATAAAATTATTGCCCGCGGCCTTATTTTCACTGAGTAGAAAATTTTATAGCAAATAAATATATTCAGCCTTATAGGTTAAACCAACGTAGAAATCGATGCTCGATTTCTAATTAAACTAATTACAATCCGTGTGTACGTGATGGTAATATAATATTTCCTATATATGTGTGTGTGTTAATAAACTAAACGGATAAAAATAAAAATAAAATATGAGTTTCTTATCATCCATATTAATAATATCACGTGGAGCCTAGGTTAATAAGTTTGTATTCCATCTGTTTTTCTTTCTGTCTACTTGTCTAGTTTCGTAATTTTGTTAAAATAATATATGGTTAGATTATCTGTACATACATCAGAAACAGTGTCAAGTCTTACCTCCATTACAACATAAATTATAGAAAAAAACATTTGTTTGGAGTCGTATTAGCATATGTCTTGTGAACGGGATCTTACTCTCGAATTTAGTAAAATAGGCACGTATATAGTTGAATAACGAATCGTGATACTGGTTGCCTTGTATAAACCAAGGTCCGGTAAATAAGATAAACAGTGGCTATTGTAGACTTAGTCCGCAGCAGTGTGCCTGAAAGGCTGAGGTCGCACAGTCACTATCTGCTAAAGATCAAGGCGACTTAAGATAGATACCATCAGTGTCAACCTCTGCATCATAAGTAAAGTCAACGGCATGTCGATGAATCAGAAGTGCAAAATCGTGACTTTTCAGGATTGGCTTTTTAAGTTGAATGATATGTTTTTTGGAATTCAATCGACAAACATAGGGCTACTATAAACTTAACTGTACAATCGACGACCTTTTCACTAGAAAGTAATTTCTATTATGCAACCGCTAAGTTTCAAGTCTATACTAGTTCATTATGTTTCAGTTCAGAGAAAGATATGAATAATGTGTTATTGGTTGAACAATATTGAACCTGTACACGAGGTGCAAATTACGTTAACTACTGTGTTAACAAAGAGTGGCAATTGAAATCTTAGCCCAGTCAGATTTAGAACAAAGCTGTTTTAATTACAAAAACTAAACAAGTGCTTCAAGACTAAACTACCTACTTTGTTGAGATCTATTTTAAGCTTTTTCAATATTTGTATTGTAATCTTGAACAGAAACAGAAAGTAAATGCTCCATGAAACCAATTGAAAGGTCTTTTATATTTTCAAAATAAATATCCGCCAGCGACTTCGCCTGTGTGGTTCTGTATTATACAACGAACTGGTAAGTTGCTTTCGTTGGTTCTTCATGTTTACTAAAAGTCAAGCTTAACGAATGGTAGGTAAAAATGTTGGACAAACCAAAAGTGATTTTATAATTTTAATCTGTTGTGTGATTTAATAAGTTTAAGCGTACAGACATCGGGAAGCGACTTTGTATTATACTTTTATTTGTATGAAAGTATACGTAGCTTATTTAGATAATAACTAAATAAACTAAGTATATTTAATCAATCATTTTACTGTTAAATAATAATAGTTTTAAACGGATGTTCACTATATTATATCCGTTTGAAAATAGTTTTATTTAACGAGTAGTGCGCGTGAAAATATAGAAAAAAATAACAATAATTGAGTCCTTTAACCATTTTTTTACTTTTAATAAATTTGCTATAAATCAAATCTTATTACTGTTATTGTAAAATTGTCAATATTGAAGAATTTAGTGCACACGTATTTCGTCAGTCACCTTTTTCATTATTAGAGCGTGTAGCTGCGTGTCCCATCGGAAAAGCTATTTGAATCACCATAAAACGAATAACTCACGAAAATATTTGTAGCGTGTAACATTTTTCTTATTATTTTTATTTTCAGCTCTTTTATGTGGATTATTGTTGAATGCTGAACTGATTTGGTAAATTCATATCAAAATGTTTATTATCTTTATTCTATTTGGATTGAGCTTTTTAAAATTTATAAATGCAGTAATAAGAGCAATATAAACTAAATACATTGTGTTCACTAATACCAATATACAACAAAGTTAAATTATACACTCATCTGTTCTTTTTTAACAAGCATGTAATAGTTATGTAAATAAATGATGTAGCTGGATAGACAATCTCAAAACTTATTAATCGTCTTTAAAATTATTTAACGACTTATTATTGTATCTAGTAGCTTATAAAAATGTTTTTATAACTTAGTTTTTTATAATCTCAATTTGTGTGAAGATATTTTTCTATATTTTTTTATTTAATTATACGAGGGTCAAACTGAAAGTTCTTAGAAAATCAAAAACTGATTACATTAGCCAGTTATTAGTATTATTATATCTTTTCAAAATATTGTCCATTCACGTCAATACACCGCTGCATGCGATGGAACCACTGGGAAAAGCACTTTGCCCACTCGTCCTTAGGGGTCTCTTCAATGGCATCGCGATACGCAGCCACCGCTTCTTCAGCATTCATAAACCGCTTTTCCTTTAAGTTTTTCTTTAATTTTTGGAAATAAATAAAAATCACAAGGCGCGAGGTCGGGGCTATACGGCGGGTGACCCAGTAATTCAACGTTTGATGTCGCCAAATAGTCGATCGTTCGCTTGGCGGTGTGTGACGAGGCGTTGTCGTGGTGAAGGAGGATCCTACTGCGAGGTCGTTTCTCTCGAACTTTTTCCAAGACAAGTGGCAAACAATTGGTAGTGTACCATTCTGCAGAAACTGTTTTTTGATCCTCTAACACAATTGTTGCAAAATGACCTATCCTTCCAAAGAACGAGGCCACCATTTTTTTTCCCGCACTTCGATCTCTCTTCACTTTAGTTGGCAACTCCTCGAAAGGAAACACCCACTGAGCAGATTGTCTTTTGGTTTTAGGATCATAACAGTAAATCCAGCTTTCGTCACCTGTTAGTATGTCGAACACAGCATTTGAGTCACCTCCGTTAAATCTTTCAATCATTTTACGACACCAATCCACACGATGGAGTTTTTGAGCCTCAGTCAAATTATGAGGTATCCACCGGGCGCAAAGCTTCCTGACCGCTAAATGTTCGTGGAGGATTTTGTGCACTTGACTCATACCGATGCCTAAGCTTGTCCGAATCTGTTGATAGGTCACTCTTTTGTCAGTCTCTATCATACGCCGCACAACACAGATGTTATCTTCAGTCGTCGCCGTAGAAGGCCGTCCCTCACGTAAATCATCAGTGAGATTAGTGCGACCACGTTTAAACTCATTAAACCAGTTGTAAACAGTCGCACGAGATGGGGCTTCATCGTGAAAGGCCAATCGTAGTCTATCATAACTTTCTTGTTGACTTAAATGACATCGAAAGTCATAAAAAATCATTGCACGAAAATTTTCTCGTGTTAAATTCATGATGACGTGACACAGACAATTTTCAATTTGCCGCCAAATCGTAAAACAAATGACAAATGAATGAAATATATACTCAGTAATATTGGCAAAGAGTTATATTTTCAAATTTTAGAATTATTTTTTTATTATATTGTTTATAAGTGGCCAGTTCTAAGAACTTTCAGTTTGACCCTCGTACAAAACTGAGCTTCACGTAACGCACAATTGATGCGTATTGATAAAACACACGCTCATCTTAGAAACGGTAGGAGTACGTTTCCCACTTAAAGCACTTAAGCATTGAGAAGCATAATTTATTTAGAAAATAATTGGCGCATTAGCAAAAAAGTACAGAAATCATTAACATTGGCACATAAGAAGCATTGATTGTAGCCGTTTCCAAAACTTTTAATTCCCACGCGTACGTAATTCGTTTTATCAGGTAGATACGTAAATAAACAAGGTAGATACCGATGTCTATCTTATCGGAGGCCTTATCTGCTAAGCGTGGTAGGTCTAGCAGTGAGGGGGGGAAGGATGAGGGCAATTCCCTTAACATAGAATCTCGTTCGGATAACGTGGAAATATATTTTTTTTAACATCGATGATGTTTAAAAACCAATAGCTTAAAGCGGTGGCAATGAGTTTGTTTCTGTTCCCTTATATTCGCTGAAACATTTCTTTGTGTCGATAATTAGAGTTTTCAAGATAATTATATAACCCTATCCTTGTTTCATTTTGGTACAGCCGATGGGATTTATGGTACAGTTAGCTGTTGGCTTTAGAGTATGACATTTTTTGTTGCTAATTTATCCTGTGACTACACTTGGGTATGTACAGAACATTGAGTTACTAAAACGGCTGAAATATAATCGATTGGGAGAAGTTAGAAACATCAGTTTAGCCACGAGTCCATTGTTGCTGAAAGTATTACTGTAGACATAGTATAAATCCTTTTTACTGTATTTATACGTATTCAGATAAACTGATTCTGTGTTTTTTCTATCCAAATGAATGGAATGTGCCTAAAATCGGGTTTTTAAACTGAAACGAGAACTCGTAGTAGGAGTCTATGTGCCGTTACCGCAAGGCGGCAGCCACAGCTGATTTCACATGTAGCCGGTCGCAGAACCGAGCGCTCGTTCTGCGCCGTTCGCTCCGTTTGTCTCGGTCGCAACCGCGATGTTAGTTCGCGGGAATGAACAGTGAATGTGATTATAAAAAATATATTCTATTGTGCTTTGTTTTTCTTAAACATTGCTAATAGTGACGGTGAAGGTTTTGCCAGGATATACTTTTTGCGGGTAAGGATATCTACTACTTTTTTTTTATCAACGACATTGATAGTTGAATTTACACAAACAAACTTTTTTGTTTTTTTAAGAACCATTCTGTTTAATTTTCTAGTAAATGTCGATAATATAGGAAACAATCATGATATTTGCTGATTCATATTAAATGTATCTATTTTCTTGTTTAATTAGATCATTGAGTAGTATGATTGACCATGTGTATACGTTAATAAAATAATTAAAATACTGTATATCTAAACTTCTCGATATAACGATATATTCTTTTTAAATTGATTGTTGATATAACAATTTGTATTCTTCTTTTATTTAGGGGAAGTAACTTATTTTGTTGATGATTGAAAATGTATATTTATAAAGTATCTTATAAATTATTTAGTTACAATGTTTTATCGTTAACATTCTCAAAAAACTCTATTTATAGGTTAGATTAGGTAAATTTTCAATATTCTGTCATAGAAGGATAATTTTAATGTGATGACTACTACTAGGTACATAAATTAATTTAATAAAATACGACCTTGACACACGAGTATTTGAATTATTTGATATGATCTAATCCAACGTCAGAGCGACGGCTGCGAGGTTATAACTGCCGTTATATGAAGTGATGCACTGATGCATTTTCAATCTTACAAAGGATGTTTGTAAAATTTTAAATTAACATAAACAACGTTACCACTTTAAGATTCATTTTATAAATCCAAAATAAATAAGGTATATTTTATTTACAACCGAGAAGGAACAAAGATATTCTGTGTTCCCTTTTATTATTTTACAAATCATTTACACTTTAATTTTTAACGTGTACAACAAGTAAGAAAATATAACGAAATTTCACTATTTGAATATCTAATAATTTGTGAATATTACGATTAAATATCATTAGCCTATTAATATCACTACTGCTGCCCTTTCATATGGAATGAATCCAATAGGGAGAACGGGTCATGACCCAACACGCGGGCCCAGTGTGGATTAGTGGATGCTAACTACTAAAGATGCATCGAGCACCAACTATTTTTGTCGCCAATCCTATGACCGACCCTAGCGAAAGTTGTTGTTTAACTTCCACATCGCGGAGCAAACACATTAGCACTGCACTGTTTTTGCTGCTTTACATTAATACATAGATACGTAAATCAATTTAAGTAATATTCTTTACAAACAAGATTTTTATCTTTTTGTAAAGAATATTAACCCGAACTATTTCTTTAACATGTATAAAAGAAATGGTTCGATTATTTAATTATAGAGAAGATTGTTAGAACGAATGTTTTCGGTCACAAAAGACACGTTCCCTGCTGTTTCGTGTTAGATTTACCATGACTTATTGTAGTGTAATCAAAACATTGTTCGTACAACAAAATCTTCTTTTAGTTCATCTAACAGCGGAATAAATTGATCTTGATTTTTATTCATTAAAAGTGAGCATTATATTAAAATAAAAATATTACAGAGAAAATGTATCGTAAATATAAGATACGTATTAAACTTATAATTTATAACAGTGGTAAGTTAAAAGCATAAAGCTACCACTAATCGATACAAAAACGTGTAACATTATAAGGTTAATGCTAATTTGGTCGTAAAAAGTTTTGTCATATATCCAATTTGTTGGAATACTATTTTAGTAAGTTTTTATTTGTCATCATTTGAGTCATTTATATAGTACTGCTGACAAGGCTAGATAGTAAACCGATATTTTGGGTGTTTAACATTCCTACTTCATGCATTCTAAGAAACCAATGTAAATTCGATCAAAACCGAGTCTTTGCCTAACAACGTAAACGAGTTTAATTTCAAATAACTTTCAACAGAAAATTAAAAACTTACACGACATATCTCATAAAACTTACGTCCAAATGATTGGATAATGTAACTCGCAATCGTTTTATCTAAACTGTCACATTTATCACGCTACCTAAGGATTAAATAATTCATTTACTTAACGTAAAAGGTACCATTAGCTAAATTGATATCGCTTTGATAAAATTATGTCAATAATATCGAAAATGTGTTTTTATTTCTCATAATCTAGTCTACTTTTATCCAATGAAAGAGGTGAAACTAAAGAAAGTGTATGTTTATAAATAAAATTATATTATTATTAGCAATAACCATTTTATATCACGCTGTATTTGTTTGCGCTGGCTCATTTGGCTCAATAAACTCGAACACTGCGATACAATTGAATGCACGTTTCCTTTTTTGTATTCATACCTATCTGGCGCACCTTACTTTACGTGGGAGCTATAGAACATTCTGCACTATTGTTTCTAGTGTTTTCACATGGTTTCGTATAGAACATGATCGATTTTATCGACATTTTGACATTATCTTTACGGGAAATACTTACTGTACCCCACCGTTGCAATATCAGATATTTTTGTTCAGAATGAGTTCAGTAATGTTTTTTTACGTATATAGATATAAATAGCGTATTTTTAAGCTTGAATCTGAATAGCAAATAATAAAGCAGAAAAGTCATAAAAATTATTTCAAGTAGCTTTTTAGTTTTCTTTTTGGTGTGATGAATGTTGGAACCAAAGTACTTTTCTGGCATCATAACCACACTTTCGAAAATTGTCTAGTTTTTTTCAAAAATAATTTTTAGAACAACGCAAATGCGACAATAGTAAGAGATGTTTCCAACCTTCCGGATCTAATTGCCGGACGTTGTTACGTTTTCCGTGACACGAGAAACGTTTAAAGCGTTTGCCGTCAGCGTTTCATATTTCTTCGAGCCCGCTGAATGGATATCTTGTTATTAATTCGGACATTGGACGCGGTCCGTGATCAATACGTCATGGCAATCGTCAATCGGGGCGGGCGATGCTCATACAATAGCATGATATCGGCCCCGTTACTCTTACCAGTTTCACTGACCAGATATAGCCGTTGCAGTTTTAGTGTGAAATGGCGAAACATTTTCACTGTTACCTATTGTCTGACTTTTTATGTTCTTGTGTCTCAACGTTGCCTCATATTAATATGCTATATTGCCGCAAGTCGTAATTTTGTAAGAGATTATGTTATAATTGAGAGGTATTATGTTACTGACTTATTTTGCTAATTTTTTCTTTCTGTGAATATAAAGGCATTTTCTAAGACCTTCTCTAGTGATATATAACAAGATATGATATATAACAAGATAAGTACACAACGGATATTTAGCCAACTTTTTTTTAATATTATAGAGAATGATTTTATGAATAGGTTTGTAAAGTGCTTTAAATATTGATACTTATCAATAATTTGTATTCAGCAAACGACAAAACTCCTTGGTGTTAAATATCACTTATTTTTTAGAAGTGTGAATTGGGTGCAGGATCATGCAGTTTATCATTTATCGTTTTCCGTTACCTTATTTGATATCAATCGATTAAAGGGTAAATATATATTCAAATATTGTAATTGAAAATGATTATACTATGAAATACTGTATGAAAAAAAAAACAGGGAGAAAAAAAGCAGCCCTTGCTGAGTTTATTGCCGGTTCTTCTTGGTGCAAGGTCTGAGATGACAAGGAGTTTAAATAAGAGCCTAGACTGAAACAATGATTACGATTTTGTTTGATTTGAATGTGATCATTAGCTGTTCTTAAGTGATTTTTCTGTAACACCCACAGAGATTAAGAAGTTCAAGAAAATCTATAAACAAATTGGCAACAAAAATGAACATTTTATGAAAGCTTCTCGTTTACATATAATAGTATTTTGTTGAGAGTCGGGTACATTTAAAAGAGCCATTTAGAGCCTTAAGATATCCGCCGTATGCATATACGTATTAAGGCTAATGTTAGTTCTCATTTGACTGTCATGCAAATATGAATATAGTTATAATGCTCTTTCTTTTCTTTACTTATCAATACACGTCAATCAATTGTTATGGTAAACATATAATTAAAACGTTAGGCTAATTACAACTTTAGAAAACATATTTATGAAAGATTTTACAGTTTTGTTATTATAATGCCGCAAATAGGTTTTCTATTCTTTTCTTTATTTTTAGGATTCAAGAACACTCTCACTATTATTGACAATTTATCAATCACCAAATTGAAGTGTTATATTGACTTAAAATTGGCTGTAGTTTTTTCGAATTTTCATTGTAAAGAGATTTTATTACTGTATCAGTTATATATCTCGTTGTCCTCAGTCATTAGCATTTTATATCAATATTAAATCATCATTATGTTTTACTCTACACATTCTAAATTTGTTATCACTTTTTTAGAGTGCGCGTAATACACCACAAATATTTCATTTGGTTTTGTACGAAATACTTACTATAATTAGTAATGAGAAAATTACATCATATTTCTATAGAATTCATAAATATGTACAATTATCATTAATTTCAATATATAACAATGATCTAGATACTATCATAATTTCATCAACAATGTTTACAACCGCTGTATTTTTTGTTAAACAAACTTATATTATTTTGAATAGCATGTCGATGGGAATTTATAGGTATTTATATGAACCACTGTTCGTGAAAATGTTGTTGTCTCTGTAGCGGAGAGTGTGCGATTTCCTTCAAAAATACCAAAAAGGGAAGAGGAAAGATTTCAAGGTTGAATTTTGTAAGGCTTCATAGTTCCGGAGATTATTTGATGCGCGATTCAGCAGTGAATGGCATTTCCTTTCAAGTGTCTGAACAAAAATAAATTTGTACTTGTTAAATAGGTCTTTTAAATTCGTAAAAATTATTTCACTAATCGTGCATTATATACGACTTATAATTTATTGACTATTAGAAACGAAAGACGTATTATTATTATGTTTGTTTTATAAGATTTTTTTCCCCATTAAGAAAGCAGTTAATTTAAAATAAGTCGCTTTAAAAGATAAAAAGCAAATATGTCAATGAAAGGGAGACACATGATAGCATAGGTAGTGAATTATTCGTAAATTCTTAATCTATATATACTAAAATAAATCTAATGAGTTTGTTTGTTTGGTTGATCTTTATAATCTTAAGAA